ACACACACACACTCTGACACAATTCAGATATTTTAAGAGGCAAGCTGTTTAGACCCTGCCTGCCAGGGCTAACCCAAACTGAGTAAAACACAAAGTCCCAGTAGACAGGCGCAGATACTCAATAAAAAAAAATCTCCTTTTGAAAATTGAACACAAGTTTTTGATTGGGTGAGTGTGACAGCATGGCTTCTAAACCATAGATATCATTACAGATATGTTCAAAGCAGCGGACCGTTGCACCATATTCCAGCGTAATACCAAGTAGGCCTAACAGGACCAGGTACGAGGAATCAGGCGCTGGTCAGTTTTGGGGTATATAGACTTATTCGTATCATCTTAAATCTTGTTCCTCTGTCTTGCTCTTGATAAAGAAATAATATGTATATTCACATTTTTTGTGTGCCTTTCGTTAACCCAATTAAGTAAAATCCGCAACGAAACGTTTTCTAAAATCAACATGATAGTCGTTAAGAAAAACAATTAAATCAAATATAAAGTATATAATAAAATAATTTAAAAAAGTAAAACAACCCCCCCCCCCCCACCAACAAAACTAGCCTGCCGGGTGGAAACAGGGGCAGCTGCACCATAGCCCAGCATGCACAATACCAACTTGACCTAACTTTAAACTATAAGAGTGCACTCTATAAAAGGCAGCAGTATATGATTCAAATCTTCCAAAAACCCCCACAAAATCTGTCCTGTGCCACAGGCTGATTTCAACATTAACTACAGCTATCAGCAGATATCTATTAAAAAATCACTGCGTTAAAATGACGACTTTAACGTCGACGAAAGCTCTCAAAACGGACGTTTCCCGAGAGTAAACTTCACCCTAGACCTTGTTCTTATGACGTTTATTAAACAAAATGTTATGATATCATTATAAGCCTCGCCGCAAGACCTTTGCCAGTTATGAAAATAAGGGTGCCAGCGTATGAAATTTATCTAGAAAAACAGCAGATTATGAGGAAACGGGTTAAAGAAACTTTCTGTCCCCTTCCGTAAAAAAATGTATGCATAAAAAATTATATAATATTCCTAAAAAATTGATAAAAAGAAGTCTTCTTTAATTTGGCCGACTTCAACTGTTCACAGCAATTACTAAGTTGACACTATGAGAAAATGTAGCTACTTTCCTTGAGAAGGAGCAGCGTTTTCTAGTTCAAACTAAAAAGGAAAAAAAGATAAAGTCGCCAAAATATTTAAGAAAGCAGCGTCAAAAAACGCTCACTCACAAGACCGTAACTTATATTCTTTTATAGCAAATAAAATACGTAGGGATTTGGGCACCTTTGAAAAAGTCCTCAAGATTCGGTTTGTGCCTGTAATTTTCTTGCAGCACGTAACGAGTTTTCACATTTACAGCGAGTGTAAAAGATTAACCTATCACATTCTGTCCTGATAGTAATGTAACAATAAACTTCATCTAACTAGAAACCCACAGTCTAAGATTACGCAGGTGATGAATTAATTGCTGGTATTTGGGGGGAAAACAAATTGTGGCATTAGGCCTATTTTTTTAAACTGCACAAGGAAATCTGGAGACTTTCATTATCCGCACAGTAGGGACAGAAAATAAACTACAGGCGGTGCCCAGAAATGTCACAAACTTAAGCAAGAGACAAATGGCTGAAGTTGTCCTTTGTACATGTACAGTTTAAAGTTCATCAGCCCGGCGTGACGAAACACAGGTTCTACCAGAGTTCCGTTAACAGGACAGGTGCAAGGGGCATGCAGGACTTAATTTATACCATGCGAGTCCGTTAATTATTCACATACCCAGACTCAGACACAGACTCAGACACACGTGTACACACACACATACGCGCGCACACACGCATGCACGCGCGCGCGCACACACACACA